TTCTTCTTGAATTCAAGCCTATTAGATGACACTGACTATACAGATGCTTCTTTAGTATACTAAATAAAGCTTACTTGGCAAATTAGCGGTAATTTGAGTAAAAAAAAATGGAATTAGGCAGCATTAAGAAAAAAAACTGTTAATTGATGTTTGTAAAATCTTTGAAATATCATTGTATTCAATTGAATATTATTAACGAACAAAGAGAACCCCTCGAAAATTGATGTATTTTTGGTTTTGTTATTACTCTGTTTTATACAGTTATTAATTTGTCTATTGTCGTTTTGTTTTTGCTTTTTTTTGCTTTTTTTTAAAATTTTTTCTTTCTTCCGTTTTTTTTCTTTTATTTTTTTCCGTAGAACGCGTTATTGTTAACTGAATCTCTGCCAGGATTTTTTTTTAGTTTTTTTTTGTACAAAACCAATGGAAAGGTGTTTAAAGATGATAGAAGAAAAAACAAAGAAAAAATAAAAATAGCAGAAGAAAAACAGGGTATATTTAAATGTAGAAAAAAGCATTTGTCTTTTTATGCTAAAAGAAATTTTGACAATTGTTGGGAAAAATTATTTTCTTATGTTTATAATTTCTTATTTTTTTCATCATTTTTTTTTTTTTTTTGTTTTTCTTTTAGTTTACCATTATCCAATTAATAGATCCTGGAAAAATGGTACATATACGGGTCAACTATTTTTTTTCGTCTTGTTTTTTTTTTTATTTTTGTTTTATTTTTTGTTTTTTTTTGTAATTTCTGTACTGTTTTTTTCATTTTTTTTTTCGTTATGTGTGTTCAATTTTTTCACTCTTTATTTTTGTAATGATTTATAGTTGTTTTGTACTGAAAATAATTGTTTTTTTTTGTTTTTTTCTCTTGAAAAACTTAGAAATAAAGATTGACAATTGCTATCGGTACTGTTGTTACGGCTACTGTTTTTCCATTCACTTCCCCCCCCCTCCCCCCGGCTTCTGCTTATTGTTGACAATTCTAAGATAAAATGTATTACAGTGGAATAGGAAAAACAAATTTCTTCAAATCAGTTGACAACAGATCAAAGGACAGAAAAAAAAAATTTGTCTTTTTTGGGCACATGAGCTTTTTTTTCCTTTTTGCTATGGTTTCTATTCAATACACCAATATACCTGAACAGTTACAGTTGATGACCGGTGACTGTGATCATTTTCGGTTACCTCATCACACAGTTTGTCTTTTTTGGGTACATAAGCTTTTTTTTTCCTTTTTGCTATGGTTTCTATTCAATACACCGATATACCTGAACAGTTACAGTTGATGACCGATGACTGTGATCATTTTCGGTTACCTCATCATCACACAGTTTGGTCAAGAGGTTATTTTTTTGCTTATTATGAGCCTCTTTATAGAGTCTTAGTACCATAAACAAGGATTTTTTTTTGTTTTTTTGGAGTGGAGGAGAGTGGTTTGAAAGGATTAACTGCAACAAAAACATTAAAAAAAAAAAACAAAAACTAGAATAATAAGACTAATCAAATCACTGCTATTCACATCTGCAATTGTTTTCTGATTCAAATATATTGCAAGAAAAATTTTAAAAAAAAAATGGAATGTGTCAAACATATAATATTTGTTGCTTTTTATTGTTGTTATTTCAACCCTTTTTTTCTTCATCTTCTTTTACCTCATCGTGTAAGAAACAAAAACTACTTTTTTTTGTTGTTGTTGTTTAATTTTCACTTGTAATATGATATCCCATTGAATGTGCAAAAACACAACAACAATAAAAACACCTAAACAGCATTAGTTGTCGATAATTCAGCTAAAATTACATTGTGAACTTTTTGAACTCTTTGGCTCCCGTTGTCGTCTTTGAATGTGTCGTTACAGGAAAGATAGTTGTTGAAAAAAAAAAAGATGCCTTCTAAAGATATCACTTTTTCTACAAATATTCTTCCTTTGTTGAATTACAGATACACATATTTATTATATCACTGTAAACAGATTGATACTATCAAAGTGTACATTGGATTGGATGAAAACGGTAATAAAACCCCTTACTGAAACTGGCAGAAAAACAGCTTTGACAACAAAATTAAATTGGTTAATTGGATTGCGAATGATCTTTGAACTTTGATCAGCTTTTATAATGATTTTGTGTGCTCAAAAGAAAATTGTTGTTGTTCAAAGTGTTGCTCACTGTTTGAACATCTCATTTTTTACCGTTTTCTTGTTTTTTTTTTT